TAATCACTGACGCGCCGTCGTCGACCATGAGTCTCAAGGCTGGATCGGGTCATTTCCCATCAATCAGTTTTCTTATTCGTGAAAGCCAACTGGCGCTTCACCACAGAATCTCCACGTGGTTTCATTGGTGGAATGGGAACAGGAGGCGCAGCGGAGGAATTTGCCAGATGGACATCAGCGGGTGGGGTGCGCTCCAATAACTGTTCTGGTAACAGTGGTGGATCGGACGTCACATCAATGTTGTCCAGAGCAGGGAAATCCGATTCATTGAAAACAATATCACGTCAGTAGACTTGCTGTGAGTTTTTACATCCATGAGGCGATTATCTCGCTTATGCTAAGGGATCCCCAGATAAATGCACAGCTGGGCTCGTGCATCCAGCTTATCTTTCTAAATTTCGTGAATGTGAAGCTTTGCAGTACAACCAAACACCTTGAGATATTGAATAGGTGGCGTTTTGTTATGCCATAGCTCGAACGACGTACGGTCATTCGTATTGACACTCGGTGTAATATTGAGCAGAGTTGTAACATGACCAAAACATTCCGTCCATAGCTGCTTTGGCAAAGAGGTGTCCAAGATCAGGGCTTGGACACGCTCTATGGTGATACGCACGCGTCGTTCTACGACACCATATTCTTGTGGTGTGTATGCGTTTGTAAAGTCAGCATGTGTTCCGAGCTTCGTGAAAATTATACGCCCTAGCTTCTCATACTCTTTGACGTTGTTGGGTTGAAAACCCTGAATTTCCACATTAGGGGGTGGTCGTAGGTACTCGAGGGGTTGCACATCTCTGCGTTCAGGATACCTATTAGAAGGGAAGGGAACGCGGTGAGACTTCGCATAAGTGCATGCAGAGCAGAAAAATGAATCTGGACGAGATACGGTTAATGCATCGAGACCGGTGAGCGTTTGGTTCTTAGAGAGCACCTGCAACACACGGATGTTAGGGTGTCCGAGACGTTTGTGTAATAGCATAAGTACGTTTTCTTTACCTGTTGTAGCAACGTGAGCTCCTTCCTTCTGGACCGCAAGCGCCGTGAACTGGTACAGCTTCGAAGTCGACGATTTCATCGCCTTAATGATGAAGCGTTGGTTGGTCTGGACCGTGCGCATGGTACGCTTGAAGTTGACGCGATAGTCATCATCGACACCAGCCGCAACCGATAGTAGGCTGTACTGCAATTTTGGGCTATGGAGGACATCGTGCAATACTAGCGTCCGCTCCCCTTAGAGCCACATACCAGGATCTCGACCGCGTCATTTGTTTCAATTGGTACCTGAGACTGTCCACCAACGGTGATGCCTCCGCTCGCTGCAGTCTTAGTCATGAACCATTCGGCATGCTGCGACACGTGACTGCTGCACCCTGAAACGATGGTCCAGCTGGTATCTAGGTCGGTGTTGGCTTCAGGTCGGAGACTAGCAGCCGAGGTGGCCGTCTGAACCTCAGACACTACTGCGATTAGAGCTACCTTGCGACGAGACTGATCAGAACCTCCTTCGTCACGGCGAGATGACTGGGAGTTGCTGTTGTTACCGCGATTTCCACCACAGCCGCCACGACCACGACCACCACTGAGACCACCACGACCACCTTGATGCCACGATCCACCACCACGGTTGTTACTGCATTGGTTGTGATTGTACGGGTGCGCCCGGTAGGTGTTGGTAATACGCAGCTCGAAGTTAGCCGGTAGAGCCGTGCCAGCCTTGATATTGCCATCACACAAATCCTTCTGTAGACCACGGCATTGGCGGATGTTGTGTCGAGGTTTTTGGCAGTAGCTGCAGACATCCGATAGGGCAGGCGTCTGCGCTGCCAATGCGGAGTGTTGGTGTAATCAAGGCATGCTCGCCCTTGGTGCCTTGGCTTTCAGGTGCCCCCTTCGCAAGGCTGTAGTGCTACTGGGCTTCGATTTCAGGGGACTTGGCCTCAATGCTCATCTTGAGCTCTTCGTACAGAATGTACATCCGCACGCCTTTCCAAACTCGGAGATCATCCTTCTAAGACTTCGGCATGGAGTGGAACAGATACAGCGATTTTTTGGACATCCGTCAAGGTTGATTCGGTCGCTTCGGATGTGGCTTTCATCGCGTTTTTCTAGTTCGAGGAAGAAGCTAGTAAGATCACTGCCTCTTGGTACTTGATATTCATAGGAAATGCTGGATGAAGCAGGGGTCACCATGGAATGCCGCACCTTCATACTTCGTGCCTATGGTCTGGAAGTTGCCGAAGGCTGTCGTGAGGTTCTTGACCAGACGGATGTGAGTGTCATCCATCGTTTTCATCAAAAATGCCTTGGTCTGCGCTTCCATACGGCGAAGCTGGCGAGCAGATGGAGGAATAGGTCCCACTTGCTTTTTCTCACGCCTTGTATTGCGTTGAGCAAACGGACGGACAGAAGATAGATCACTCTTTTTAAGCTTCTTGCCTGACGGGTTATCATCGTCGTCACAGCTGGGCTATAGCTCGTCTGAGCTGTCTTCGAAATCGACCTCGTCTGAGCCAACCTCGGCAACTGGCGCGCTTAGTCGTGGCTTCGTCGTCGGACATGTCAGAGCCACTTCCACGGTCTTCATCTTCATCATCCCTGACTCCATTGTAATCCTTCTTGGCGACGAAACCGAGGAGGTGCTTGCCTTCTAGAGAAGCACTCACGCGTGTCTTCCAAACGTCGAAATTGCGAGCACCGGTAAGTCGAGGGAGGCCGTCACTCGAGGATTGGCTAGGACTCATGATCTGTTGATGTAGAGCACAGCCGCACGAAGAAAAACTTGGATAATGTAGACTTGAGATGAAGAAGTTTGGAAGGAAGGAAGATTTGCATTAGTGGAGCAGCAAGCTAGACTCTCACTACTGTCTTCTTATTGTATACGGCAGTCAGAAACACTATTAAATAATGTCGCTACCAGGAATTTGTTTCGAGTCATGAGTACCGTATCCCTTCACAATTAGTTTGTAAAGAGTACGGTACTGAGGTCAGCTCTGTGACGAGCCCTAACCTCAACAAAGACTAAGGAAGGAGCAGGGGGCCATGACAACAAGCTAGATAAAGCAAATAACGCGGCTTTTGCTGCCCAGTGACTCTGTCGACTTATACTTGTTCCTATGTATGGGTTGATAGTAACAATCTACAGTCAACAACAATATGAACACCTCCATTCGTCTAATTAGACTCTCTCCATGGAGAGCTCCGCTTTCTCTTATTGTAATTTTTCAAAATGAAATTTCAAAACAAAAATTATTTTATTTGTTACACCCATGACAGTTAATTAGCTGCACTAAGCCACGCATAACATGCGCGGTGGTAGCCTTCCGTGGGAAATACCACGAGCGTCACATATACTCGACCAAATAGCCATCGAGTGCGCTCTTCGTCATACCTCACATGACTTTGATGTGGCGTTTGACGTGGATCTCTCACAGGCCTGCTATAGTGTTCGTGTGTGTTCCAGCTTCTGGATCCACATAGTGTTCTGAGTGGTTCACATACTTGTGCGTGTAGTTCAAGTCCTAAAGAGAAGGATGGTTGTCGAGCGTTCTGGTGCGCACGTCGCCCTTAGTGTTCCTTTCGGTGACGTATGTGGCGTACATGTCCGAGTAGATTGTTGTCCTACACAAAAAACAAGCTAATATGATACAGTGATGTATATGTCATAACGTGCGGAAAATACGATTGTGCCCAGGCTTGATGAACTTGCGAATAGCATGAAATAGCTTCTTCTGGGTTCTATCGCTTCAACAATTCGGCCAAACAATTTCCAGTAGAGCGGTCCACTCACCAATAAGCCAATAATCCGGGAATTGTCGCCCACGATTGTGTTTGCTCTTCTTTGTTAGGTTTGTTTCGTCAATTTCGACAATGTGGCCCACACCGCCAATCTATGAGTACACATTAAGAGCGCCCCAAACACATTTGAGCAGAATATGAGCAGTACCCGAAATTGATCGCTGAACAGCTGCTTCGAGCAGAGACATCGAACGTAGCCGCACCAGCAGTGTTGGCTTTTTACGGAGCTTTTTACTTAATTTAAGTGGAAACGCCTGTAAAAATGTAAAAAATCGATTAAAAACGTGTAAATAGGGGAGACAAATCAGATTGGGCAATACGACGAGGTCGGTTGAGGGACTGCAGGACGGACGCGTTCGTGGTCACGCGGGTAATGGAGCTCGCCTTCCTCGCTGCAGATCATCACGTGCGTCTTGGATTTGTCACTTCAAGGGGCAGAGCGGAGGCTAGCAGCAATGAAGCGAGCGCTGAGCTCACGACCAAGTGGTTGTACGAGTTGCAGCTAGCAGGAGCATTCCCCGCTGTCGATATCTCTGCTCTTGGCATTTGCTGCTCATATTGACTCTTTTTGATACTGTTTCGCCTAAGATACGCTTTGACCATGCTACATAGGCACCAGGTTGACATTTTTCATTGCGTTGACGCTAATGTTCAAGATGCGCATGACATAGTCCGTCGTAGGCGCTGGCGAGTTCACAACAGAAATCCTTATCAAGTGGTATATTGCTCCTTCAGTACAAGCTGTCTGTTGTTGCTACGATGGACCTTTATTGCTATTGCGTGCATTGCAGTGAGTACAACCTAGTGGATTGGTACTGTAGTATTTTCACTCTTGATCCGATTTGAACTACTAACTTTCAAAAAGTGTTTCGTTAGCTCGTGTGGAAGTTTGAACTACTGTTTTCCACTGCTCAAGCCACGGTGTTCTCCTTGTGTCTTATGGATCTACTGTACCGCGATCTCAACCGCTTTTCCCCAGCTTTTGTAGCAATTTGAACGACCAAGTATAACATAGCTCGCGGACGCTGACAAATGCTGGGCTTGCGCTGAGAATTTCAAAACTGAAGCCGTCAACAATTACTGACCGACAAGAATCTGCGCGTTCGATGAGAATTAAATGCGACGGTATATTGCAATTCATCAACATCAAGTATATTATCTACGGATGCACAAATGCTCCTTGTCACTACATTTGAGAGGAAACTAACGCGTACTTTATTGCTTCGAATTTACAGCTGCGCTTCGCCGTCAGAAGAATTCGTAACCAGCGATGCTAGCCTTGTTTTTCGCGCTCGAATTCCTGTCAACCTTTGTTGCTGGGGAAAGTCCAAGTTATTGTACGGAGGATAAGGTTGCCGGTTTGGCGGTGGAATCGTATCTTTATGAGAGCCAAGCCGTGTCGTTGTAAACGGTAAATCATTACATGGACTGCTGCGTTCATTGCTCGTTGCGTCCTCTCCACCTGCATTCGTACAGTTCTCGTCAACGCCGTTTCTTTCATTGGAAATTGAATTGCTCTCATTTTCGCCTTCTGCAGTGCCGATAGAATCTGTATTGCTCAGCCTTGGAGTTTCAAATATAGTGCTCCATATCCCAACTGTGTCTTCGTCCCCATACTCCCCAATTTCCTCCCAGTCGAAGTGCTCCAAGTATTCATCTAATTGTCTGTCGCTAAGAGCAACCGTATCGAGTTCAGCGGTCAGAAAACCCACCGCAGTATCATCAAGGTCCGTTTGTGAAGCAGGTGCAGTTGGAGCCGGCGTTTGACACGATGGCGTATCGCGTTCCCTTCGGTCCATACCACCCGTTGAACCGTTTTGCTGTCCTGAAAATAAGGCCCGTGCCAATCGTGGCGACTGCAATTGGTCATGTTCATGCTGGCCAGGCAAGCTCTGAGATTCACGGGCTGGGTCTTGCTCTAGTGACGTTTGCGGATTGGCAGAAGTAGAACATGTACGGGGGGGGAGTAGTTCGAGCTGGCGTTGTACGTGACGGAGTAGGTCGTGCTGGGGTTGTGTGAGAAGAAGTAGCCTGGGTTGGGCGAGGTGGAGTAGCACGGGATGGAGTAGCACGGGCTGGAGTAGCACGGGCTGGAGTAGCACGGGCTGGAGTAGCACAGACTGGGGTAGCACAGACTGGGGTAGTGTGAGCTGAATTTTGCGACGTAGCGATGCATGGTCGTTCTTTTGGGTCCACCGTTCTCAATAGTTTTCTTGAACTCGTTGGCATCACTTTCTCGAGGCGATTCTTTTCTCGAACGTACTGACGAGTAATCTGATGTTTCGCGGTCTTGTCGATCGACATGCGGTTCCGTTTCGGCGTTAGAATGAGCGCAAGTTCACTAAATAAGCGCTCACATGTTGCGGTATTAACAGCAATAGAAAGGATTGTAATTGCAAGCGAAGGAAGTTTGCACTCTTTCTTCGTACATTTTTCATACCTCCAAAACTGCATCACTTGATCCTCGGTGGGGAAGTCGATGAAACGTGAAGATGAAAAATCGCCAGTATCCAATTAAACATTTCACCACGCACCCCGGCATCGTCATCACTTACAAAGCGGCGATAATAATACTGTGCGAATTGGCACACATCATCGATGTCAGTGAGCACAGTTGAAGGAAGCTTCCGCGCTTGGGCCACGTATTCAGGATGGAGGAAAAATCCTAGGACAAACAAAGGCTGCTCACATGCGTTCCAGCGAGTTTCCACTAGATCGGTTAAAGCATCGTTCATTTCAGTTGACGCAAAACCACGGTAAATCTCCATAAAAGTAAAAACGACATCGACCACTGTATTCTCATCCCTTTGTAGGCGAAACGAAGCAGCACACAATGGGCGGACGATTTTTTCAGCAGTCTCCAGTTTTGTCCAGAACTCAACGTCTCCAAAAACGCGAAGCGAATCCGGAAGATCACTGCGTCTCCGATAAGAAAAGACCATATCTTCCAAAGCCCCTCGTGCTCGCAGAAGCGACGCAAAACAGGCTTGCATCGAATTCCATCTAGTTTCACATAGCGTGAAAATTGCAAAGCTAGTTCCGTAGCGTTTAGTCATTGCCTTGAAAGCTCGCAACAACCATTTAGAAGTAGAAGTGTTTAGATAACTGGCAGCACCCGCGGCATCCGTCGAAACCTCTTTGAACACCGTTTTGAAGACGGCTTTCACTAGGTTATTGATGTCATGAGCGAAACAGTAGACGAGCGCGATATTTGGGTACCGGAGCTCCAGAATCCGGCGAGCACGAGCGCATTGCCCAGCATTATCCGTTACAACAGCGCCTACCTTCAGTTCCGAGCATCTAGATCCTCAATCACCCCTCCATTTGCTGAGCTATTGCAAGGCCATCATGGCGATCACCAGTTGGCTTTAAACCGTAAGTCATAAGCCGACCAAACAACGATACCATGCAACCCAGTACGTGCACCTTTGCAATAGTTTCCCAAACATCAGACAGGAAATTCACCCTTCCGCCGCTTTTTTGCTGGATCTCGCAAACCTTGGCTCGCTGCTCAGCAGCATGTAGATCTGCATATTCAGTTAGGACACGGCCGCCCAAGATATGGCGATGCGGAATCGCGCCTTGGATCCCACAGCGGGCGTTCAAGAACACCAGTAATCGGCGGAATGACATCAATTCCACGAAGGAATCAGGCAGCAAAGCCTCAGCTTGAAACTCCAGCAGTAGGCGCCAAAATATAATTATTTCAACAGGCGTAAATTGAGGTGCCGAAGTGCATTGATGCTTGCTAGACTCTCCATACGTCCTTGCTCCAGCTTGATTCTCGTCGCTCCGAAGTCCATCGCCAGTAACACGAGTGTAGTACACACACTCTGACAAGTGTTTCTCCCACGAATCCTTTCGCCCGTGAACATGGGTAGGGAAAGGAACCGAATCTCTGTCCCTTACGTGAGCTGCATAGCAGTACTTGCACACAGTCCACCACATCGTTTTGTTGCACTTCTCATTCAGTCGGAAAAAATTTGTGCTGAGTGCACTTGGAGGGCGTCCACGTTTGAATCCACCAGCTTGTTCATCACGCAGTCCTGGTAGGAGGTCCATCAGGATCGGCAGTCTCGTAGCTTCGGCTCGAACTTCGGGTTGATAGTAGATCTTCAGGTTTTCTTTTGGACTGAGTGCCTTCAGCTTCTGAGTACTGTGGATCTTCAACCATAGTTTTTACGTCAACAATGTAAAATATCTTACGTAAAAATGTTTTTAATCGTGTAGAAAACCCTTTTTACGTAAGAAGGTAAAAATGTAAATGTAAATGTTAAAATGCCAACACTGGCACCAGTCCTCCACTGTGATCTCCGATACGTCCGCTATCTCCGCCGTGTTGGTGTGCAACGCTCGCATACACCATACATACAGTAGCCGAGCTGCTTGGGCTAGCGATAGTTTCATCCCAGAAAACCGGGTATTAGTTAAAATACTTAGACTTGCCTTCCTACCTTCATCATGACGTTTCTTGCGGCAGCACCGCCAGTGTATCGCCTTTCCGGGGACCCTTAAACGCATGGGCTGCTGGTAGCCTGGCAATACGTAGAGTCCTCGAGAAGCTCTGCTTGTTGCTACAACACTACTGCCCCCACCTCGTCGCTCTTCGCCTCGATGATTGAGGTGAAGGTGAAGTGCTCTACGTTGTGAAGGACAAAGTGGTGGTTGGTTGCGCTAATCATGGTTCGAAAGGAGGGGCTACGCGAGGGAGGCTGACAGAGTCTGGAGCGGCGCGAATACTTTGCAAAGTGAGGGAGTGAGTGTGCTAGCGTGACGAATGTCTGGTAGGGAGGGAACGGGGGCATTTCCGCGTTCACATACAAAAGCCTATTAATTTGTTTACACGAAGTTTTGCAAACTTCGTGTAAATGTTGTCGAAAACGGAGGCATAGCACTATTATTTGCAAATTCCAGTCATGGGCAAATCTTGTGTGACGCACACTGGTCAAATCACGAACTATGAAAATTTCATTTTGAAAAATTACAATAAGAGAAAGCGGAGCTCTCCTTGAGGAGAACCTCTGATTGTGCTTCTACATCGCTGAAAAATTCTGGCAAAGCCACCACACGATTTGGTATCACCAAGGAACGACCTTGGCAAGAAACCTACTGTCAATGCATTTTTTATAGATACCAAAGTTGCTGTGACAAATACAATTTTCTACTGGACACTTGCACTTGCTGCCTCCCAGCCTAAAGCCAACGGCGTCTTGTATATTTGTCTTTACGTCGTAAAATATTTGTTAGCAATGAATTGTCAATGGGAACTCAATACAATTTCAAATTACTGGAAAAAAAACTGTGCTGGTACAGTGTGTTGCCAGCACAGCACGATAGCGAAAAGCATTTAATGCCGACTCGAATCTCAACCTATAAGCATCCTTATGAACCGGCGAATAAGGCTCAAGACAGATACTTACAACAAAAAGCAAACAAGCAAGGATATTTTACCACACGATACACTATATTTGTTGTTGCTCTACAAAGTGAACCCCTCTATGCAATACAACACCGTAAAGCTGCACAGCTTTCTTTATAAGTTGCTGCGGCTGGTTACGATTTAGTTGGTGCTGTTGTTGCGGATGTAGTACGGCTCGTCCTGGAATTCCGTCTCGCAGTACGGGAATAATGTGTCGTCGTCCGACGGGGTGAACAGCTCCTTGCCGGCGTGGATCATTACGTAGCAGCCAGTAATGGCGCACACCACAATCACCAGCATTGATGCGCCCTTGTCCAGGAACGACATGCTCTTCCAGAATACACGAAGGTAGATGATCAGCGGCAAAAGCAAGCAGCTCGTCGTGTGGGCAGTAGCTCCTGTAAAGTCCTCCAGGTCGAGGAAACGCTTGCGTGCAAGCACGGCAATAATCACCAGGATCGCAATGATGCAAACACGTAGAGCAATGTAGCGCAGAGGGTTGTTCCGGTAGGGCGCGTGAAGCTGCTCCTCCGTGATCTCCTCGCCGAACTCCAGAGCGACGCGCAGGTGCGACATACGGCCCTCTGTCTTCTCAACCAGGCTCGAAGCAGACACCTGACGGTTAGCCGTGTCCATGGGGGTTGAGCTCTGCATGTACGAACGCTTCTCCTGGATCTCCATGTCAAGGTCCACGTTGGCCTGGTCAGCCTCGCCGTTGAAGCGGACGATCTCGGGGCCCTTGTGCATGCCCAAAACCAGACGCTCAGCCATGAAGAACGGAGGCATCATCAGCGTCGAGAAAGCGATCGAAATGTGCACCTGCATGAACAGGTAGGCCATCACCACGGCACCACGGTCGGCGGTGAAGCCCAGAGGGGCCAAGCCAAGCGGGTTCGACGTGCTCACGATCGAGTACAGGATGTTGCCGGAGAGCTGGCAGCCGCCGGCCGTGTAACCAGCAAGAGCGACAGCGACGAAGAAAGCAGAGATGAAGAGAATGGTGACGACCACCACACGCGGCATGCGCTGTGGCTGCGAGTGCTCGCGCTGCAGGTCGGGCACCACAATAGCAGCACCGTACGCCAGAGCAAGATTACCGAAGCAGGTCAAAACCTGGTGCAGAGTCACGTCCGGCGACGGGATCGAACCGTGGCCGCGCATGTTCCACTGCAGGACAGACACAGCGATGATATCGGCAATGACTGTGCCCATGCAACCGGCGAACGCCATACCAGCACTCTCCTTCAGCGTCGGGATCAGACACACCGGAACGACCATAAGTGCCATGAAGATGATCCAGAAAATCTGGCTGAACGAGTCAGGGAATAGCACGTCCAACAGGGTGCTGCCTAGCACCAGGAAGGCGCACGGCACCAGCAGACACACACCCATCTGAGAAACCACCGTGAAGAATCGGCCCCACTTGCCCAGAGCCCACTCGCCCAGGTCACCGTACGTCTTCACGGACGACGGCGCCACCAGCATCACCTTGGACAACTTGAGAGTTGCGTAGGTGTTGGCGAAGATCATGAACGCTAAGGCAACCGACGCGAATAGCGGGCCGGCGCGGGCGTAGTTGGAAGGCATGGCCAGTGAACCGATACCGCAGACGCAGCAGAAGAGATTGAAAGACGCCTTGGCGTCTTCCATGGTGAAGAAAGCCGACTTGCCGTTGGTGGACGACATCGTGGAATGAACAAGCCGAAATACGAAGGTTGGACGGGGTCCTGCTGCTTGCTGGGCTTCTCCGAGAGAAGATAAATTCCAAAGTGAACGAGTTAGAGCACCTTTCAGGCGGTGCACACGGCTCAAGTCATTTCTCCAATTTGAGTGCGCTGTGCTCACTGAGAACGGCGGCCGAACAGAGCCGATCCTCTTTTTTCGGAGCAAGCATACTGGGCGCAAGTGCCGGTGTATCAATTCCAACTTGGCTGCATCAGCAATGCCAGGGATTTGGCCGGCTTTGTGAGCTCATGTCCCTGCTTTCAACAAGTTGCCGTTGCAGGAGACTTGCATCCAGGCGAGTATACGGAGCACCAGATGCAGACAAAGTGCCGGGCGCGGCAACCTCAGTTTAGGGATGCGCTCTCGACCGTCTCAGTTACTGCTTGGGATGCTTTACAGGAGTGTGGATTAAAGCGACGCGTCGGGTTTGGAGTGCCCGTATCTAGTTAACACTGCCAAATACAGTGTATCGCGTCTTTGAGCTGGCGAAGCAGATCCCTAGGCGGTCGTTACACCATATTATGCTGGCAACCCATCCCCAGGATAGCGCACTTTGGGCCCGTATCGCGAGGGACGACCTGGCCTCCATTCAATCCCACTCTATTGCCCTTTCCGGTGCAGGACAACGGCTCTCTTGCAAGGATCGATGATCGCTGATGACAGCAGCTGATCGTGCGCTCCGGATTTCCACGGCATCCACACCAGCCTCCGGTTGAGAATCTCGACTCGAGATCGAGCCTCGCTTGCTTTCCATGTATACTACGCAATCTGAGGTAGACACCAACATAGTCGTGGTGGTTGCCTAATACATGTATGCATCCCTCATTTGAGCGCAGGGCGATCGCTTAACAAATACAGGCTAGTATTGGTAGCAAGTTGAAGGTGCTGGTTGCTCGAGTTGCTGGCTTCGCCGTCCGACGCACGGTGTGACCGTCGTCCAACTTGATCCGCTGTCTGTTCTTGATATGCTGCGCTGAAGCGGGCGGCTAGCCAGTGGCTAGTAGCCTACTTCAGTACAGTGGAGCTCAGCCCATCTCTCTCAGTGTACTTCGGCTTCCGGTGCATGGCATGAGCTGAAATCTGCAGCCGCTAAACCAGCGGGCTACATCGTCGAGAAGCATCCCCGTATCCAGTTTTGTGCGTGTCTAAAATGCATCAGGTGGCCGCCACCGTGGCGGTGCCCACTGTGGGCGAAGAGGACGGCGGCAATGGCTCAATTATTGAGAAGGTCATGAGGACTTCCGCCATGACAAGCAGCGCGTCACGGCCTTGCACATTGCGCATGTACTATGTAGTACATGTACTTTTGCAGTCAATATAAGGTTTGTTTATTTGTACCGTACGTGTACAAATATCGCTCTCTCTCTCTCTGCTTTTATTAAACAAAAACTGCACAACTTTTAAGTTGTGTATGCACCGGTAGTAAAATGTAGGCTTCGGGTCTCGCGAAAGTACAAGGAGCTGCAGCACCGGAGATCCGCGTCGCGAGCGAGGTGACGATTGCCCGGTGCTGCAGCTCCTCGACATTTCGAAAAGCTTTGGACTCCAAATTGATCTTTGGATCGGAGATTGAGACGGGTGGAGTTTCGCGAAATGATCCATTTATTTGCGAGGTTAGCCTCGCGGCAACATTTTCGACTGGATGAATCACCACACTATGCTGCACCTAAATGGCGTGTTTCGCTGCAAAAAAGGCATATCCACTCAAGCAGTACGATTGCACAGTCCTATGAGTCGCATACTATTAATACTACAGTGCACGTACTACATGTAGTTTTCGTGAACACGAAAACTTTCCAGGGTTCCCCGCGCTGAAAAACATCCAACCGTCGCCACGCTCTTTTCACACTGATGTTGTTGCATCTGGGTGGACGAGTTGAGTGTGTGCGATGATTCACACAATTCCTCTCAGTTACTCTCAAAAATGTTCGTGCGTGCTGGGATAACACCGGAGCTGTGAAACTTGTACGAAGGGCATATTATTTACACGCATGTGTGCACTTGGATTGTTGTGGTTATTGTGGCTATACACAAGGCGGGTTTTCTAATATCTTTCCGCGCAATGTTAGTGCACCGACACGAATCGTGCTGAATGCAAAGGTGTCAAACGTTTTGACGTAAACTGTCGAATCAAAAGAGCGGACATTAATGGCGCTCCTTCATCAAATTACAAGTTTGTAGGAACATGTAGACCATAATCGCGATGGAGATATTGACAATTCAGAGGAGTAAAGGCGATTTAGCCAGAAAAGGCTGTCGCGAACACGCCAAAAGTAAATGGCAACAAAGCGATGTCTGTTCAGTCGATCTTAATTTTTAGTCTATGAAGATTGACAATCCGATTTCCGAATGGCTATTTTCGTGTTCGGCAAGTTCTTATGTATTTTGGGTTTCCATTCATTAGTCTGACGTCCGGCGAGAACGATCTGGGACCAGTGTTCGCCATACAACGCAGGACTACGTGGGGCCGTGGCGAAACAGGGCAGCAGTGCATCGAACGCTGGGAGTGAGAAACATTCCCAGCCGAAGTTGACTCATACCAACAGTTTTTATCCTCTTCCTTTTGTGAAATGCGCCAGGGGTTTACTAACGACTTGCAGCTGGCATGACTGTGAGTTTCTGTTTAGAGGGCAATTTTCGAAATGACATTTACATGTACGAAAGTCTAGTGGTAAACACGAATAACATAAATGCGCTTTTACTGGCACAGGTGAAAATAGCTCAGTGCTTGTAGTCATACCAAAAAATCGCCATTTCATAGTTTTGAGCGCCAACAAGACGAATTCTGAGTGGATACACCAAAAGGATGGCAATTCGACACATAATACTTTTCAAATACGAACACTTCAATGGAAAGTGACTTCATCCATCATATCTTTACTAGAACATGATTCCGTTCATTAGTGAGAAATATTTCAGACACTACATGTCGTGAGCATCGTTTGCT